AAAAACATTATGGCAAATAAAAAATAAACTTTTATTTAAAACCACAAAGATATTTTATTTGTAACTTTAAAATTCATATATGTTTGCTGAAAAATAAGCAAAATTATGTTCATAACCCTAAAGTAATTATGGAAGCAGGTGCTGAAAAGTTTTTGGCTCAACTCACTACCCAAAAGTGAATCAAGAGCTTTTCAGTAATCCTTTATAATGTGAGCAAATGTGAGATTATAAGATCTAAATTAATATGAACAAAAAATATTATACATTCATTGGATCCCACAGAAAGGTAAAACAGAATCACAAATAAAGAACTTTACAAAATAACAAAGACCACATCACCTGAACACTTCCAGCAGCAGCAACAACTAAAATGGACAACAGATATAATTAGAAGGAAAAGGTAATATTATCATCAAAATGTTGACTTTCCAGATTGCCTTAAACAAAAGTCTAGAATAGAAACCCCTGTTGATACTTAGACGAATAATAATGCATAGAGGATTTGAGATGTGTATCTTCCTGAAAAACTGTGTTTTAAGAGAAAGATTGCAACTGGCAGTAACACTAACAGTTCATTCAATTAATGATGAATATTTCCACTATGGAATCAGCTAATCGTACTAGATGTACTTGTGAATGAAATATTCATTTCCATATGATACAATACTTTCATTATGTAGTGATGCATCTGATAACAAATTCTATTTTATAATATAATACACTATGGGACTATGTATTTATCAATCACACTGCTAGATCTCTGTTTCTTAGTGATGAGATATTCTATAGTTTTGATAACAAGAAGAATTACTTTGCACCTATATTTGAACATGTCTCATACTGCCATAATAACAGAATACCTCATTAGTATGTAAGGGAGATTAGGCTGCTGATACAGTTCTTTACATTTTTTTGAGTGAGTAGTATTAGTTTGCTTTGAATGTATAGGTAATGGTTAGTGACTTGAAAAGAGGAACTGGTAAGCTGAGTTCAAATATAAACAGTGTTTATGTTCACATTTGCACAAATACCCTTGAGAAATGTATGAATTTATTTCTTCTCCCAGCTATGGGTTAAATAGGGTAGACTGGGTTCTCTAGCCTTGGTTGGCAACTAGCTAAGAGAAAGACAACTGTAAATTCAAAAATGGTTGGTCTGCTAATAGGTAATTAGAAGCTCTTGGTGACTCAATAAAAACACTCATATCTCAGTGGCTTGGGCCTCTTGTTGGGGGGGGGGTGCTAATAGTCAAACAGAAGCCCTTCTGTTTTAGTTAACAATCTATCTAGAGATGGTGACTTAGTAAAAACACCCATCCCCCAGTAGCTTGAGCTTCTTGTGTGGATGTGGGCTAATTGTCAAATAGGAGCTCTTCAGTTTTGCTTGGCAATCTATCTAGAGATGGTGGCTCAATAAAATCCCCCATCCCTCACCAGCCTATCAGGAAGTTTTGGTAAAAAAAAAAACACACACACAATGACTAAAATTCTTAAGTCACTTGAATTGCCCAAATCTGCTGCAGGTGGAGATTGTATCTTCTCTTTCTTTCTCTTTTTTTGGATATTTTTATTTTTAAACATTTAAAAAGCCGAATTCATTCTCATATGCAACAATAGAGTTAATTGTTTGGCTAAAAATCTTAGATTACTCATGCAGAAAATATAAAAAGCACAATTCGGAATTTATTAAATATTGCCATCATTTTTGATGGTGCGTGTAAACTAGTTTCATTAAAATTATCAGATGCCAATGTTTTGTTTGCAAATTCTCAAGATACATAATATTCTAATGATACTTTAAGTTGCATGTAAAAGCAAATGAAGAAGTGCCAATAATCATTGATGTTTTTTTTTTCATTATTATTTTGGGATGTATTGATGAAATATACCCACTCAGCACTCAGTTAATCCTTTCAGGAATGTCAATAATAGATCAATGAGATGTTCTACTGATTGATTAGCTCCTAGCAAAAGTAAGTCTATAAGTTTCTTTTTTTTTGATTTTCTCGGATTTCTTGAGAAGTCAATATTCACATCTGCTCTCAGGAGTAATGAGCTTTTCAAGAGTTAAATCTAAGGGAAGATGAAACTTGTTCAGATTTCAAAACTGATATTGGGTCAATAAAGTTTTCCCTCTGGATTTAAATGAGGAATTTTGCTCAAATTTATTAAACTTTTCATCGGTATATTTCAACAGCTGATACTATTGGAATGTTGAATTTTGTTCAGATATTGTAGTCTTATATAAATGCTGATAAATTACTATTGAATGAAATCCAAACTAAAGTAACATGTGCTTTAAACAGCAGTAAACACATATTTTTTTTTTAATCAGTATCACATTATTCAAGGCAGTAAAGTCATGAAGACAAGTGGTTACAAGGTGTGGAAGAATTAGGAACAGAAACATTAATAATGAGCAGAAAGAGAAAAAAACATAATCAGGTGGACAGTAGATAGCGATTAGCATTGCATTAAAAAGTTTTTGCAGATTAAAGTTAGTTGGAAAGCATGGAGCTGGAAAGGAGTTCCACAAGTGAGAAGTGTGAGAAAAGAAACACTTAGCATAGAATTTACAGTTACATCTAGTCAGCTCAACTGTAAATTGATGTGATCTACATTTCCCTCTGTCCATGAAGTGTTTGAAAGTCCAAAATAATTATAAACTGAATAATAATTAAAAAATGACAATTTATTTTTAAATTTCTTATTTTTTTCACTGTTAATAGTCTATAGTGAATTAGATTTCCAAAAAATATGTAAATACTGTTATAATATTTTATAGAAATTAGTAATTAGTTAGCTAAAAATCACAGAATAAAAAATAAGTTCAAAAAACAGATTTTTTAATCATTTCAGCTCAAGCAAGGCAATAAACCCACTAAGATGTTTAGGGGTTACTGAGTATGAAAGAATCAAAATAATAAAAAGTAATTAATAACAAAAAAAGAAGAGGAATGAAGAAGGTAGGTGATAAAAAAATGGTTGGAAAGCAAGAAGCTGGAAGAGAATTTCACAGGCAAGAATTACAACAAAGGAACTGTTAGCAAAGAACTTTGAGCCAATTCAACTGCAAATAGATGAAACCTTACCACCGATCTATTACGGCACTTAAAGTCATAAAGTCTAAGTACCATAGAGGTAAGTTTATCAGAACAATTACCATGAAAGAATTTATAGAAAATACACAGGGAAGCTACATTACAGTGGTGATAATGCGATTTAAGCCAGGATGCCAGCTCAGGACCAACAACATTGCAGATTCTTCCATGGATTTTTATCAAGAATCTCTAAAAATATATATATAGAAGTAGCACCAGATCATATAAGCATGCAAGAAAATATTCTTGTTTCTGAAAGCATTTTCTCTTTCAGTGTGGAATTTATTCAGAGCATGGCAGGGCTCTCCATAGCTTTTGTTTATTCTCAAAAATATTTGCTCCTTAATGGTCCCATTTTTTACAATACTTGTTGTTATGGTCCGGTTCCTTGTACCACAGTGATAGTCCAAGATAGAACCAATAAAGAAGAACTCAAACATGGATATGGAATAACACAGATATATTACAAACAGAAATATATACAGAGAAGTAGAAAGACACTGATTTCGTTTACAAGGGAGTAAAAATTGTTATGGTCCGGTTCCTTGTACTACGGTGATAGTCCAAGGTAGAACCAATAAAGAAGAACTCAAACATGGATATGGAATAACACAGATATATTACAAACAGGAATATATACAGAGAAGTAGAAAGTGTTAGTACAAACAATCAGGTTTAGTAGGGAGAACAATGTAGTCTCGACCAGTATCACTATTCCAATGTCTTGTAGTAATTGTCTGAACGCAACTCTGTTTCGGACTGCCTGACTCGACTGACTGACTTGCTCACTCTGACTGACTTACAGACTCCTGACGGACTTCACTCCAGACTTCAGACTGAACTCACTGCTTCCTCTTGAGGCGCAGTATTTATTACGTATGAAATAGTCCATTATGTTATTATGGGTAAGGTCCCATAAAACTTGTTTTCCATCCATTTACTCAAACTTTTATGCTGGTTTTTTGCTGCTTCTCTTGCCTTCTGTGTCCTATGTGTGCTAAATTCTCCAAGCTTTCTTTCCTCATTATTTTTCCATAAATTCCACTTGTCGCTTTCTAATTGTAAGCTATGGTTTATTCATTTTTCCCATTTTTCATTAACACTTCTTCACTTGTCCCATGCACCATCTATGTTATTCTTGACATTTGTCAGTAAAACTACATCTCATTTGCTTCCAGTACTTTCTTTATTTTTGCCAAAATTGTCCAGCCTTCACTGACATATAGGAGATCATTACATGTTTTTACTTATTTTAGGTTTTGTGTAGGTCCTCTTAAATAGCAGAGAATGCTAGGTCTCATCACAGATGAAGAAGAGACTTAAAGCAACAGAAATGTTGTTCTATGGAAAGATGCTGAGAATATCATGGACGGAACATGTAAGCAATGATGAAGTTTTAAAGAATATGGAAACAAAAAAACACTTATACTTAACATTAGAAAGAGGCAGTTGAAATTTCTGGAACACATAATGTGGAAAGAAGGTTTAGAAAATTTGATACTCACAGGACATATTAAAGGTAACAGGGACAGAAGAAAATAGTACTTAACCTATCTAACAAGCTTGTGTAAATGGTTTGAAGAATGGGGGAGAGATAGTGAAATGAAAAAAAATTTACTACAGGACAGGAAATTGTGGAGAGCCATGATCGTCCACGTCCTGAATGACACATAGAAGGAGAAGAAGAATTGTCTACATTACTGCATAGTGACAATGAATGTTTTCTAATCAAATTTAATAAGGATAAATTAACTTAATCATATTGGATTAGAGATTTTCCTCAATGAAACGATCTACCAATATATGTTATAGGTCATCTTTCAAAAAATTACTTTTAAAAAATGTTATTTCTTAGTACATTTTTAAAAATAATATTTCTGTAATTTCTACTATTTTTCTTATGTTTCCTTTCTTTTGTATATCAATTTTTTCCATGTGTCCTTGTATACACATCTCTCCCCGACAGTTCTACTCCTTTTCTTTTTTTTTCACCATATGTCTTTCTTCTTTTTCTTTTTCTTTTTATGGTTGTCCCTTCTCAGTTTATTTTTCTTTTCTCTTCTTTTTTCAATCTTCTGAACATTTTTACTTTCTTTTATATCTTTTTTCTTTTTCTAAATAGTTTTTCCCTCCCTATCATTTTTTTCTAGCACTTTCTAATTCTTTCTCTTCTTATTTCCTTCCAATTTTCCTTCTCTTTCATTTTCTTTCAGTTTTTTTTCAACATCTCTTTCTTTCCTTTAACCTATTCCTTCACTCTCCTTCTTTGTTTGCTCATCCCTTTTTATTCATTATGTTTCACACCTTTCTTTTTTCTTTTCTTTCTTTTTTCTTTTCTTTTCTTTCTTCTTTCTTTTCTTTCTTTTTTCTTTCTTTTCTTTCTTTTTTCTTTTCTTCTTTCTTTCTTTTTCTCAATATTTGACTCTCACTTGATGCCCTCCTTCTTTTTCTTTTCTTCCAAAATTCTTCCAAAATGTTTTACATCAGTATTCTTCTTTATTATTTTTTACTTTCCTTTCTTTTTATTTTCTCTTTTCTGTCTCTTTACTTTTAGTTTTTCTTATTTTTCAATTAGAATGATTCGACAGATTTTCTTTTTATTTCTTTTATATTTAATTTTCATATTTCTATTAATATTCTCTACTCACACTGTCTTTCTATGTCCCTCTCTGTTTTATTTCCCTATTCAATTTCAGTTTTCTTTTTTCAGTCATCTGCCAACCATTTTTTAATTCATTTAAAATTACCCAAAATTGACCTTGTCAACCACTTCTATATATACCTACTGACTTAAGATTGGATTTTTGTTCATATTTTTTAAATACCTTACAGCATTTTCTCTTTTTTTTTTTTTTTATTCCTTTAATTTTCAGTTAGTCTATTTATTCTGTTGGGGAAATGTCTTTATCTAAAAAAATAAAATTAAAGTGTCAAAATAAAAAAACTGATAAAGTAATAGTAAGGACAATAGTAACTATTAAATTTGAACTCTCTTGAAATGGAGGAAATAAATTGGAACAATATATACAATTTAAGTCAGTGCAATGCAACAGAATAGATACCCTGGGCAACAAAGAATTTGCAACTTGAGCAAAAGTGTGTATTTATGACAAATCAAATATGCTGATTCTGAAACTGTACTCAGAAATATTCAAGCAGTTCAGGATATTGTATTATGCACCAATCGAAGGAGACTTTGCTTTATATTAATTTCACACGGTATAAAAAAAACTGCTTAATTTGCTAATGAGACAAAAGTTTTTGAACTCAATTGAATTGTAGTTGCTATTTTTCTCAAATGATTTATTAAAAATGACAGTAAGTGAATAAACCTTGTAGGTCTTAAAGGTGACTTTCTTTCATAAGATCTCCTAGATGATGATGATTGTTATTATTATTATTGTTGTTGTTGTAGTTGTTGTTGTTCTTCTTCATCCCTTAAGGACCTGGGTGATCATGGCTTTCCAAAATTTCTTGATCAAAAGAAATTTAGCAAATAACAAGATAACCAAGATCTTGACTTCCAAAATGCTGACTTTTCACACAATATTAAACAAAGGGTTAGGAAGAAAACCTCAATCAATACTAGAAAGTGTGATAACAAATAATGACCTTGAGAAGCCTAGTTTCATGAAAAATTGTTCTGAGAGAAAGTTTTTGTTAATTTGAACCAATAGCAACACTAACTGTTCAGTCACAGAATGACAAATATCTCCTGGTTATGAAACAGGTAATTATACAATTACTATTTCCAAATCTGGACTCAAAATTGTCCTAACACATCATATGCTTGAGATATGTAAATAGTATATTAGTATCCACTTGAATGGAACATACCAGTTTCATTCATGTTAATTATAGAGAACTTTCTTGTTTTTTGCTTTTTATTTTTACTAAAGTTCCCTCCATACAAGGTAGAGGGTTATTGAAAGAAGTGCATGATATGGACATAAAAGGAAAAAATAGAAAGTGAAGATTAAGAGGATATGAAAGATAGATAACAAATGACCTTAGACTTGAAGAGATAAACATTATAGTGTTGAAGGAGGCATACTCTCTGAGTAGAAAATCCTTGAAATATAAAAGTTACAAGAGTGATTCAACCTTGTTGATGTAGAAATGCAGTGTTGCAAAGTTCTGAACTGGTGACACCAAAGAATATGGCTTGTCTAAAATTTGCTATGGAAGCAGCAATAACGTAGTGACAGGCATACAGCATTACTAAAAAAATATGCTGATTTAATAACAATATGCAAATAGTGTATGAAATAATAGGATACTTGACTTCTTTTAAAATACACTGCATTTATTCTTATCTAGATTCTCCCAACAGATTTGGATACCACAAGTGATGAGTATGGTCAGAGGTTCTATCAGAGATTCAATCATGGTATCGAGGCCAGGTTTGAACCCAAACTAGTTGGGTGACTATTGCCAGTTTCAGAAGAAGGAAACCACATCAATACTAAGCACAAGAACAAGAATCTTAAACAAATATATGAGGTGTGACAATTTAATTCCCAGAATGATCCCAGCATGTCAATAGAATAATGAGTCAGGCAAATATTTGTATTCCTGGACATATTCCAAACTCCACTTTCTTGAAATGTAGACCAAATGAGAGAGTAATGACTCACTCATTTGGTCTACATTTCAAGAGCAAGAGAGGAAATTGTACAAGTCTGTGTTATACTGTTGGTAGAATATTTTTGAAAGGAATCTAAGGCAGCAAATGTTGAGTGCAAGTTCTAATAAACAAGAATCTAAAAGAATAATATACTCTTTTTGTTTTGTAAGACAACTTTTCTTGTATGTCGATGCTGTTTGTTTCCATAGTTAAATTAATTACTAGTGCATTGCTGTCCCTAGTCTGGCATGCCTATTTTTGTATTTCTTTTTAACTAACATACTGTATTCTAATCTTACTAATATTACTAATTTACTAATATTACTAATTCTAATCTTACTAATATTACTAATTTACTAATATTACTAATTCTAATCTTACTAATATTGCCAGTATTCAGACTGAGTTTTCCACTGAACAGTTTCTCAGACAAATAGTGCATTTCTTTACTTGTTCCTCTAATAAATCTACATTTTCCTCTGTCTTTTGAAAGTCCAAAATAATTATAAATTGAATAATAATTTAAAAATGGCAAAATTCAATTTTAAATGTTTTAATTTTTTTGCTATTAACAGTCTATGGTGCAGTAGATTGCCAAAAATATATAATTACTGTATGTCATAATATTTTATGGAAATATGGCATTGGTGAGTTAAAAACCATAGATTAAAAAGTAAGTACAAAAAGTATATTTTAATTCATTTCTGCTCAAGCAAGAAAATAAAGCCACTAAGACACAAGGTGTCACTAAGTGTGAAATAATAAAAAAAGAAAAAACATTATTAAGGTGTGAGAACAATAAAAGAGGAATCAAGAAGATGGTAGATAAAAATTGGTTGAAAAGCAGAAAGTTGGAAGAGAATTTCACAGGTGAGAAGTATAAGAAAAGAAACTGTTAACTTATGGTTACAGCTAACCAATTTAACTGTAATATGATGAGACCTAGCTGCCAATCTAGTACTGCACTTAAATTCATAAACTCTAGGCACCATAGAAGAAAGTTCATCTAATGAACAAGTGTCAAAAAGAATAATATACTCTTATTTTGTAAGACAACTTTTAGTGTGTGTTGATACCATTTGTTTCCATAGTTAAATTAATTACTAGTGTATTGCTGTTCCTAGTCTGTCATGCCTATTTTTGTATTTCTTTTTAACATACTGTATTCTGATGTTGCCAGCATTCAGGCATTCAATTTTTCCACTGTACTGTTTCTCAGACAAATAGTGCATTTCCCTACATGTTTTTCTAATAAATCTGATCAACATTCTTCTTTACTTGATTTGTTCCTTACCTCCTCTCCTAGCTCTGTCCTCTTGGCAATTAAGAACATGCTGTAATATCTGTTGATATTTGTTTTGAGTCATCTATTAGAAAGGAACTTCCTATCTGCAAAAATTCCATCTATTATCAGAGTACTGATTGGGATTCATCTTGTGACTTTATTCGAGACGCTCCATTGATTGATATTCTTAACCTTAAAATTGATGTTTTTGAACCTACTCATAAATATCAAGTGAAACCACAATCTCCTCTTTGGTTCACACTTGCCTTTTCAGCCACTATAGCCTATAGGAATAACTTTTTGCGGGGTGTACCAGCTTGATAATTGTGATCACAACAGACATCTATTTGTGATTGCTTGAAAAAAGGCTAAGTCTTTGCTGATAGAATGAATCACCATATAGCCTCTGACAAGTTTGGTTCACATGACTAGTGGTGGCTTTCTAATAGTGTGTTAAGTAAGTTTTCTATTTCTCCTCTTTTCACTCAGTTTGAGGTATTATCATTTTCTGCTGATAAAAAATTTTTTCTCATAAATTCTCTTTAATTTTTACTCTTGATTGATCTGGAGTACCTTTGCCTGACTTTCCATTGAGTGATTTGTATATAACTTCATCCATGGTTTTTGCTATCTGGATCCTCAAAAAGCATGTGGACTTGATGGTATCCCTACAATAATCCTTAAGATATGTGCTCCTGAACAGACTCCTGTTTTCTGAACTGTACAACAAATGCATTGCTGTTTCTAGCTTTCCTGCTTGTTGGAAATTCTCTTCTGTAGTTCCAATATTCAAGAACTCAGGTGAATCATCTGATCTTTCAAAATATTGGCCTTCTAACTTTTTGGACAAATTACTAGGGACTCTAATTAACTCTGAACTGGTTAAGCATCTCACATCACAGGGTCTTCTTTCAGATAAGCAATATGGCTTTCACTTCTCTAGGTCAACTGCTGATGTGTTAACAATTATTGTCGAAAGAGTCTCTCAAACTTTAGATAAGAACAGTGAAGCTCAGGCTTTGGATATCTCAAAGGCATTTGATAGGGTTTCACAAATTGAAAGGTTATGGTATTTCTGGATAAATTTTTAAACTGATTCCATCTTTCTTATCAAATTGCAAAATGAATGTTGCCTTGAATGGCTACTCTTCTAGATCTTTTTGCATAAATGCAGTTTTTCCCCATGGTTCTAACCTTGAACCTACATTGTTTTCAATTTTCATAAATGACCATCCTGATTTTATCAGTTCTCAACTTGGTATCTATGCTGATGGCACAGCTAATTACTCCTATCTTAATAGTAAGTCTGATTGGTTTCATAAAGTCAATTTGGCAGTTTAAAAAGTGACTTACGGTCTGTTGTTAAATGGGGCAAGGAGTGGCTTGTTAATTCTGACACCTCCAAAACAAAACTGCTCTCTTTTAATCATCTGAGAGAACACTTTTTACATTCCATCAGCATAGCTGATGATAACCTCCAGGTAAGTGACTCATTGCATCTTCTCAGACTAACCTTTTCAACTGACATGAAGAGGAAAGACTATATTGAACCAAGTCTGCAGCTAAGAAATTTATTTTACTATACTGTGCTAGACAATTTTTCTTGTCATAATCTATCTTACATATTTATAAGTCTTGAAGTTTATAAGTTTATTGAATATTGTTGCTACACATGGTCTAGTGCACCTGCTGTATATTTAGAGATACTTGATGGAATTGAAAGAAGAATCTGCAGTGTTATTGGTCCTGATCTGGCATTTCACCTTCAGTCACTTTCACACTACCATAATGTAGCTTCCCTGTGCCTTTTCTATAAATAA